TTGCCGATCCGCTCGTACAGGAAATTATTTTTAACAATTATTATCCAGTATATTTCTCAACGTGATGCGTGAGAAACAAAATAAAAATGTCATTCAAAATCTTCAGTTTTTCTTTTTATCCAGTGAAAAGAAAATTTGTTGAACGAGAACTCTAATTATTCGTTTCGTTTCACAAATATCCATCGATTCTCGAGTGATAATTACATTAATTTATTCTCCGTACGCCATAGAATTTCTAGATCTATTTCGCTAATTATCTTTTTAATGGACGTTCTACGTTTTCTGTCTTTTTCTTTTTTTTTCCCAATCAACTCTCGACCACGACACTCAACGAAATTATAAAACGAACAAAACGATGAATTGAATTCTTTACCTCCCTTTACCTCAACGATCGGAGAGTTCGAGAGTCGACGGCTTAAAAGCATAATACATTATTAACAGTTTCTGCGGTCAACTTATCGACGAAAACGAGAAAAAAAAGAATAAAAAATGGAAGTAGATCTTATCGCAAGAACAGAAAAAATAAGCGATCAATCGTTCAGAATTATAACTTGTTAACGAAACGAGAAGTCTGCTTGAGTTATTAAAATACTACCACTGAAACTTTACCGAAAGTCACAAGTTTTGAAAAGGTTGAAGGTTTATATCCAACATAACGTTATTGTTAAAAAATGTATAAATAAGATTGTTTGGATAAATAAAGCAACGTAATAACATGTCTATGTATAAAAATCAATAATCGAACTTTGGCAAACTTGAAAGATACTTGTGAGAAAATAAAACGTTACATTAAAAAACAATTGTTTCCTCCGAGAAGATCATCTAAGGCGAAGAGTAGCAAAAATAGAGCGTGAGAGGGTATGTAGGACGCAGCGAAATGCAAAATAAAGAAAAAGAAAGGAAGAAAGGGCAGACAAGGTAAAGGCGTACATCAAAACGTGGCAACCCTTCGGAATGTCTAATGAAGCGTGTGAACTTCAACCCGTTTCGCGTGTAACCTAATTAAGTCCGGAACGCGCATGCAAATTTTCGCTCAGTGGGACGTGCATAGGTAACCCCATAGCGCGCGTTTTTTCCCTCTCTCCTTTCGCTATCTCAACCGACAACTTGTTTTCATGCACGACGACTTCTCTAACCCGAACACGCTCATTTTCGTGGCTCGACTGTTAATTAATTAAATGCTTGATATCAGTCATTACATACAAATAGAATTAGTTATCTAGGTACTCGACTATTTTTTCTATTTGCTCGTTTCTCTACACACACCACAATTATAACTGACTAAAATAATAAAAATATTCAATAATAAAAATATTCAATAATAAAATATTCAATAATAAAAATATTCAATAATAAAATATTCAATAATAAAAAATGGAAAAGAAAATATTCCCAGTAGTAATAATTTATTAATGAAAATTTCTCTTTCCAGTTTGATACGGTGTATCAATGGCAACAGTGCAACCTGCATCTTTCGGGGTGCGACTGAATGCATCGTGTATCAATAATGCTATCACACGTTCGATGAGGGATGAATATCTATTGATTGGCTTTAGCCACCCTTCAGTGTATCGCGACCATATACCATACCTGCTGCAACCCTAAACACATCCGGACTACCTGCAACTTGTACGTGGCAAATCGTCGTGTTTTCGATGCCACGTGCCTAGGAACAGGTACATCGACCGATACCCAACCCAACTCGATGTTCTTTCTATTTTTCGATTCTCAATACCAATTGATCGATGCATTTGACGTCCCTCGTGAAAAATGTATATCTTTTATTAGTCGTATTTTTCTGATTAACAAGATATACCTATCATTAGCCATTGCCAGTTCAAACGGTTCTCATTACCTGCTCGCATATTTGAAAAACTGTGTTCTAAATGAACGTAATGACAGAGAATTAGAGAAAAAAACACATTGGACAGATACTTTAGTCTATTAACTGATTATTTGCTTCCGTAGATCGCTATGTATAGACTTTTTCTAAATTCCTATTATTAACGTTTTCATTTGATCTTTATAAAGAATTTTTAAAAGTTTATTAATTATCATGATATAAATGAAATTTTCAAAAAGTAAGCTTTCGAAGTTACAAAAATTTATATTATGGTCTCACGAGATATAAGAAACATTCTCGTTATGCTCATATAAATTATGTATAATAACGAAATGTGGTATTGATAAAATTTCAAAAGTCTAACTCCCATTGTATCCGTCATCTCGTTCCAATGAGCACCCTTTACTCAAATTAGTAACTCGATATCGGTGCATTGTCCTTGCACTGTCAGTGTGTATACATCAAAAAGTATGCATAGTTACGGTATAAAAGAAGACCTGGCATGAAGGATGAAAAAAAAACGATACGTTTTCAATGCAGGATATCTTGTTAATGCTTCGCTCGAACCTCTTCATACAACGGGTGTTTACTTTTTCGTCGGCACGACTTCTCATCGGTTTAAACGACTCCGCCGTGAGAGCCGAAGAGCTAACAAACCGCAAGATGTTATTACCTACCCTTTTTAAAATCCTCAATTTAATAAATGATTTCAATTCCAGACACTTGTGTTTTCTTTTACAAAAATACTCGCTTTACCGTTTGGAAAAAAAAAATATTCGTAATACAATATTTCCAATGATAATAAATTTATCGTTTTATCTCAAAATAAAAGATTTCTCAAAACTAGATTTAAAAGAGAGTTCAAAAGAACAAGAACAAAAAGTACTCATAATCAAAAATACGTCGATCGATTATAAATTTATCATTTGATCGAGACAAAAATTTCTCAAAGCTAGATTCAAACGAGAGTTCAAAGCAAGGAGAACCCCCTTAAGCAAATCGTGAGAGAAATGGAAGGAGCTCCCCTAGCATATCCGGATACGTTCCTATCCTGTCAGTCGTATGTCAACCCTCGTTGTTTTTTTGCCGTGCTCTCAATAATTGATCATCTGATTACGATACATTATACCCTCCTTTTTCTACGTTGCCATGCCATCGTAGAGTATTATTCCTGCACCAAGAGAAAGAGAAAGAGTAGTCGAAAGAGAAAAAGAGAAAGAGAAAAAGAGAAAGAAAGAGGGAGAGAGAGAGAGAGAGAGATTGTCGGAGGAAAGGAAAGGGAGAGAAACTTTTTCTTCCGCCTCTCAACGAGGGACGCCATTTGCATATAGGTCCCCTTATCGACAAATACACAGGGGGCGCACTTCCTAATGAGGGCCCCCTCCTCTTTCCTGCCGTTCTCTTTCCTTTATTTTTTTAACGTTGCCCGCCATTGTTCGTAATTCATTCGCCGAGCGACATGGACCAACTTCATCTCTCTTCCTCTCTTCTCCTAATTCTCTTTCTGTCTTTGTCTCTCTCTTCCTCTTTCTTCCTTACGAATGTGTAAGTAACATATGCATGAGTCTATAGAACTTATACATTTTTCTACTCCGTATTCGTTGTTAACGTATCAGAAAAAAAAAGGTTGAAAGAGAAGGACAGAACCGGTTACAGTAGGAAAATTATGAATTACGATGTCGAGATTTGTTAAGGCAAAAGAATGAAAAAGATTTCATCCTGACATCTGCCTTTCGGGATAAGTGCAAAAAATGTTAACCGTTCAATATCTTTCTATCTTCTTCAGGGCCATATTTAATTAGGATTAAAACACGTGCACGATGAGAAACATGCTTTTCGAAATGATGTTCACTCAAATCTTGTTGCTACCGATAATCCGAGTTAGTCTTGACTGTTTCGTTAAATAAGGAATTTTCAAGTAGGTATCGTTAGGTCGCAGGTATAACTAGATCCCCTTAACGAGCCTATATAGATGGTTCCGATTTCCTAAAAAGGATCTTCAAAAATGAGTAGTTATTTTCTGCGACAAGGTGCATCGGTAGCACAAGCGGCACGAAACGTCTCAAAAATAACAGGTCGAATAAGCAGCGAGACCGGTTTCCTATCCCTGAGAGCGATCGTTACTAAGTTCCTTGCACAACTGTTAGAATAATCTGTGGTGAGAATCATGAGTCGTGATCCATATACAATATACACGTAGACATATCCGTAGGTATTACGTCCACCTCGAAGACGAAGGCAGGTGCTCTCTTCCAAGAGAATAATTAATATTCACCGAAGGAAAAGAGGGCAAAAAGAAGAGGATGGTCTCCTCTTATAAACAGTTAACGCGTTAGCGAACGAAGACCGCTGTGCTTCCACGATGGCACCTGGTTCTTTTTCTTCTGCTTAATTCGATATTTCGAGTATTCCAAGTCCAATTATTTCGAAGGGTGTCGATAATAAACATCACGGAATCATCAAAGAAATTTCTTTTCTTCTTCTTCTTTTTCTTCTTCTTCTGCTTTTTTTCTTTCTTTTTAATTGATCAAATTCGTTTCTCCATCGTCTTTTAAATTCGATCCGATTTATTTTTAAAATGAATCATACTTAATGACTCTCAATAGCTTGTATACAACTAACGAAAAACATAACTCGATCATTACGTTGAATATTTTTGTTATTAGTGGGGCAATATAAATGCACGGAAGTACCCACAGCTGCAGAGAGAACATGGAAAAGTTGTGATCAGATAAAGATAAAAGCGGAGGATGGTATAAGTACGTAAGAGAGCCTCGAAAGGGAGAAAGAAAAAGTGATAGGATAGAAAGGGAGGGAAAAGAAACGATACAAATTACAAGCACCCGGAACCGGCCTCGTGTTTGTGTTAACTTTGTTCGCGTGCTTTCAGGAAATGCTTCACAGGACTTTCGCAGTCCCATGTTATCGTTCATACATTTCAACTTTATATCGTTTTTTTCTCTTTCTCTATCTCCTTATTTCCCCCTTTATATATTATAAAACATTATATTAATATCCCCGTGATGACGTTTACAAGCTGGAAATGTAAAACATTGCTGTATTTTAACAAAGTACAAATTACTTAAATATATTTATTGAAATAAAGCTCATTCACTCTCTATTTAATTACCTTACAATTTTTTATTTTTCATTGCAGATATGAAGCTGTAAATCTCATTTACGAGCAAGTAACAAAAGCATACAAAGATACAGAAATCAATTGGAATTTAATACACGATGCTGGTTGCACTATAGATGACACCGAACTACCACATCACGTTACTGCGCCACACGATCTCCAACGTCTGATAAACATAACATTTACAAACTTCTTAGAGGCTATACCAGGAGAGCCAACCATCGTTACTATTTCGAGGTAAGAAAACAAATCAATTAAAAATAATCAAATACAATATCGATTTTCAATTTGTGATAAGAATAAAAATAAAAGATTTTATTCTTTTATGCCAATGCAAGAATTTATTCTTGATCTCGATTAGGCGTAATTTTCAAAAAAAAGTGGTTAAAAAATTTCGGCTGTCGAATATTTTTAAAGAGTGCCAAATTGAATTCCTCGCACCATTCTTTCTACGTGGATTTCGACGTTGCAGATGGTACGGAAGAAGAATCTGGGAGGGTTAGAAAAAGAGAAAAGGGAGGTTACACAAATGGTGGGTATGGAAGGGCCGTCCGAAGGGTGGGTACATAGACGTTAGACTACCATCAAGCCCCACCTTCTTCGAAGGTAGGGTGAGGGCTTTATAGGGGTGCACAAAATCAGACCTTGAACCTTTCAGAATTGGTCGACAGATGTCTCTCTTCTTGAAATCGCTTTTTTAGGCGCTAATTATGGCTTTTCTTAAAGAAATCTACACACTTCTAAATGATCCGAACAGTTAGAACAAGATACAATGATATGCATAAATATATTCCATGTTAATATGCAATTTTCATCTTTGTATGTATCAATTATCGTGAATCTTTATTTATTCTTCTATAAATAATAAATTAAAAAAAAACGTATATCTAATTGGTAAAACATCTCATATTCTATGACGTCTATATAAATCTATCTCAACTTTTTTAATTTCTTTTCTACGCATAGACCGACGAAGAAGAATCGGTATCATTAATTTTTAATATCAATGGAATATAAAATTAAAGTCGGAACGAAATAATAGTGTTAACAAAAAATTACAATTAATCAATAAATAAAATGAAGTTTGAGAGAGAATACTACCATAAATGGATACTTGGGTGCCATCTCGCGTTGAAATTAGAGAAATATCACCCTCATTTTCAGAGATGGTAGGAAAAAAAAATCGATTCACCCACTCGGCCCACTTCCAATCCCTCGCCCTTTAACACTTCAAGCTTCCGGGAGAGACGCGGAAACGCCGCCGGATGTCGCCTCTGGACAGCTCCGAGTTTCTCTCACAGTTTTGCCAAGGACCGATTAAACCAGACGGGAGACAAAAAGTGAAAGTGAAAACGACGTAAAAACACGAGTGGTTTATTTTAACGAGTTGTATTATGATCATCGGTACAAGGGGCGATTTTAATTTTTATTCACAAGTTCATTTCACGCTCGTAATACTAAAGACAAATTATTTTCTCCAAAAATAACAAAATGAACTTAATGTTTTTGACTTAGAGACTTCATATACCAAATACTGTTCATTTTAAAAATCTTAACCAAAAGTGTTATTTTATTTACAGATCTGTCGAAGACGACTATTGTCCATTAGAAGACATCGATACAATTCAAGTGTCAGTTCTAAATCAACTTGTTAAACACATCAAATCCCCCGTAGATATTCAAGAAAATTATGAAAAAAGTAATTAATGATAAACTATTATGTCCATACCACATTATATATTACAAACATTAATTTGTAACATTAATGATAAATAAAGAATAAAGTTTTCCTACAAAAACTATAAAAAAAAGAAAAAGAGATATGACCAATGCGCCTTAGTGTGCACATGCGAGAACGATTCGAGTAAACGAATAAGAAAGGTCGGAATTGGAAATTACGGAAGACAGTATGCATCTGCAGAGCAAGCTTCCGTAAGGAAGGAGTCTTTGATCTCTGGCTCGATTTACATAAGATCGGTGCCACTGTCCCATTATGGGAGCCGAGCACAATGCCAATGTGAATGTTGGTGTTTTTTTGCATTGAGTCTTTCTCTCTTTCTCTTTGCCCCTAGCCTTTCGCTTGCTTCACAACTCCTTGGATTTGCATACCGTGGGCTAGTTTCCCACACGTCGTCGACGACCTTCATCCTCTCCTTCTTCTTCTTTGCCACGTTCTTTGCTCCCATTCTCTCTCTTTCTCTCTCCTTCTCCCTACGTTGTCATCGTCTAGCTACCCTTTCACCCGCCGACGACAAAAAGGAACGCGAGACGCAAAAAAAGGAGAGACGTTTCCTTCTTCATCAAGGCGATAGCATTTCCTGGCGAGACTTTTCTCAAGACGGCCGTACCACCTCGTCTTGCTTAGCGTGTTCATTGTCGACGGGATCGTACGAAGCTCGAAAACACTGACGGATATATCTTTGTCTTCTTTCTTTCTTTTTTTATTTCTTCTTTTTTTTCTTGCGTTGGCCGTTCTGTGAGAACGGAAGCGGATATGAAAGAGAGCCTCGCATCGTTCTATTGGATCGCCAAAGCGTTTCCATGTTCACAAGGAAAAAAAACTCGTTCTCTTTGAAGCTCGACTTTTAAAGGACTGGACAATCATCATGTGTTACGATCTGTAGTCGTAGACCTATCAAGGTATTTCACCGAAATCCCTTTCAATATTATTCGATCGTAACTAGTTCGTTTGTAAAGAAAAACGATTTGAGAGGAAGAATAGTTAAGTGCACGTGTTACGAATTTTGTATTCGTCGTTAAGGGCTCATAATTTAGCTCGTATTCTCGAAAAGAATTTCGTTCTTAAACGAAACGTACATCACAGTAGTATGCAGCTCTGCGACGTGTGTACAATTACTTACACATTTAGGGCCGTTCGCCCTAACACACCTTTAAGGAACGAGGCAATAGCGAATACAAATAAATGTTTAAACGAGCAAGGTGAATGCGGAAGTACGCTCGCAAGAAGGAGGGACGAATTTTGAAGGACCAGGAGAAAAGTTTACGAGCTGGCAGTCTCTGGTAATGACTGTCGTTAACCACCGCAAGGCGCACTCCACCGAGAGCGAATCTTTTGTATGCTAATGACAGGGTGGTCCGATTACAGTTCCTCCAGTAAAAAAAACTTCGAGGTCAACAGACCCATCGTTCGTCCGAGTTTCGAGTCTTTCTTCGAGTACCATTGACCTCGTATTAAAACCCTTCGACTTTGACAGTCTCTAAATTTATATAAGAAATCATGTTTCAAATCTTAACGATTCCTTATAAAATCTCGGTCTTATTCTTTTTATTTCTGCACAATCTCTTTTTCTCTAAGCAGAGAAAGTACTCTTTGTATACATTCACTTTCAACGATAAGATGTTTCAACTGCTAACGAGATATCTATTTATAAAATGAAACCTGGGTAAAAAAATTAATTGTTAAGATAGCATGGTAACACGGCTAACAACATTGTGACCACAAACGAAAGTAAATATCGCTTTTCATCGGCCTTACTCTTCTTCGTTTTCATCGCCCTTATACGACCGTTCGAATTTCACTCACCCAACTAACACCGTTCGAATGGGTCGCAAAAGAATTATTCAAAACCAGGGCTGACTGGCAAAAGCACAGCCTGCTACCCTGCTACCGTAATCCCATACCCGTATCCGATTTGCATAAAAGAGAAAAATAAAAAAAACTCTTGCTCCAAAGAAAAACAATAGTAAGAGAAAGAGAAAGAGGGAGAGAGAGAGAGAAATGGTCACGCTCGTGATTGCATTAACCTCGACGAAATTGTAGAAAAAATTGATATTCAATTTTGAAAACGACACATCACAAGAGTTATATATATATATATATATATGTACACATTATATAAATATATATAATCGTAAAGCTTTACTGTGAACCCTTTCGAAGCGCAAACTTTAGGATTATGCGCGTGACAAAAAAGATCTTGAATCGACTATGCTAATCAGATAGAAACGGATGCCGTGATACGTCGTTAGTAAAGCCAATTATAGCGCGAAGACCGATTCGCAGCAGGTATTCCTTTTTGGTTCATAGGCCTACCTCGATATAGTCCCGTCTCCCAAAAAAGATCGATATCGAGTAAAAAAGTAACACGGAAAGAACGAGATAGAGAACCCAACGAGATAGACAACGTTATAGGCGGAGACCTTGATAGCCATTGTTCGAAAGCGCTATTTGTATTTATTCGAAGCCTTTGTTCGGACGGCTCGGAAAGCGGGGCTGTAGATGAGAGAAAGCGAGAGAGAAAAAGAAAGAGAAAGAGCAAGTAAGAAGGAGAGGGAAGAATTACTTTGCTAGCTAAAGGGGTGAGGTCCATTAGTTGTTAGGAAACTGTCACGGAGCTTCGATCACCAAAAAAAAAAAGAAACGCGTGCTTATCGAAATCGCAGAGAACATTTAATACAACAAGAATAAAATTAAATAGTCGAGTGCTTATAGAAACAAAAAACAATACTGCATATCTTTAATTCTGAATATTATTTTTTCTTTTTATTTTGTTAATGTTCACACGAGAGATGTGAAAGAATGATCGATCAGCTTGAAGAGACACGTTTGACCATACATAAAAATCCAATTCCAGAAAGGTGTTCGCGTGCGATTTGGCCCCACCCCGACGGACCGACGATCGTGCACGCGCGCGTGTGTGAATGCACCTCGTGCATTGGATGCAACTGCAAGTGGTCAGTAGCTCGCAAAACGACTGACCGCTCGGTACATTGGTTCCGCACATCCCGTCGATCTTCCAACATGAAATTCAACTGACACGCTTCCCGAATTTCTGATTACTTCTGATTTCCTACCGAAACGAAAAATCCTCGAAGTAACGCATAACTGAAAGTAATTTACTCGGGTACTCTATTAAAATACGAGTGAGCGAAAAGTGAATTTATTTCGATGTTTCGAAAATTAAGTGAACCCGATAATGTTCTGCGATCATTTAATTCAAATCGGCAAGAACATGTGAAATTAAATTGGAACGTTGTGAATTTCGAATATTTTACAAATACTGTAATTTCGTATACATAGCGTACGAATATATTATAAAACTTAATACGTATAATAACTTTGTAGCGAAGAAACCTGTGTGTGATCATTTTAATATGATAATGTGATAAAGTGAATTTTAATAAAATACGAATAAAAAATCTATTGCAAAATAAATTAACGTTCATTCTCGTAAGACTTTAACAAAATTCTTTCCATCAATCTCGACTATTACTTTCTTTAGATTTCACATTCTTCGTCGCCCTGCCCCCTCCCGAAGAAAAAAGTTGTTAACTAAAGAAATAAGAAAAAAATAATAAATGAATAAAATAAAATCCATAAGAAATAAGTTTTCGCTCTTGATGCACGGTAAAAATAGTACGTTGATAAGAATGAAAATGAAAGAACACAAGGGAAAGGAAAGTGATGAAAAGGTCCGTGTCCTTATTAGATGCAGGGATACGTGTAATTCGTACAGCCGCGCCATATTTTATCATCGTTGCCAGTTACATTATATTTCAGGAAAATGGTCGGTGCACGCGTGACATTGCCGGCGACGGGGAGGATGGTTTATCTCGAATATACAATCCTCGCACCCCTACCAACGCGTGTTCGAGGGTGGTAGGAGGGATGGCTTCGGGTGGATGGAAAAAGAAGGGGAAGAGAAAAAGAGAAAGAAAGGATGGGAGGGAGAAATAGAGAGGTAGAAAGAAAAAGATAGAGTAGAGGTCGACGAGAAGCCCTCGGTAACCAACGCCCACCGCCAACCACCCCCTACCCTTTAGCTTTTGCGACGTCTATGGAGGGGTGTTCGGCTCAGAAGAGGGAAAGAGAGGGGACAAGAGAGAGAGAGAGAGAGAGAGAGAGAGCTCGAAGGCAACCCTACACGAAGTGCGCGAACTAACGAAGTTCTTTCGCTTTTTGCATGGAGCGAGATGGGGAGAAAAAAGCTAGGAGGGGGAGAAAGAGGAGAAGGTGGGAGAGAAAAAGGAGGGAGTAATACCCCATTCCTCTTTCTCCTCTCCTCTTCTCTTCTCTTCTCTTCTCTTCTCTTCTCTTCTCTTTTTCCATCGCTCCTCTATTTCTCTTTTTTTACTCTCTCGCACACACTCTTTTTTCTTCCCCTCTCACGTAAACGCGAACCCAAAAGCTGCATATAGTAGGTAATGATGTAGCCCGCTAGATTTCCCGTGGAAAATTACCTACGAACTTGGCCACGGAATCAGGGTAAAAGCGTTCCTTCTCCTTTCTTTTGCCTCTTATTTTCTTTCGAAGTTATACTTTTTTTTCTTCTTCTTCCCTTTTATTCTTGTTTTCTTTTCTTTTATTTTCTTTTCTCTTATTTTTTCTTTCCCTTATTTCGACAGAAAAAAAAATATTGAGAGTCCATTTTCGAGCATTTTCCTTTCGATAAACTAAAAGAATTTGTAGTAGAAAATGTGTAACTTTATATTTCTGAAGATTCCTTCGAACAATTTTAGCACTTAGCCATTTCCTAAAGAAAAATAATTTCATGAAAAGCATTCTCTTTCCTTTCATAACCATCCTAATTAATTGAGTAAACGAGCATCGTTTATCTGATGATAAAATGTCGACAATTGTATACATTTATGAAAATATACATATACTTTATTATATCTCACGATACACTAATCTTGCGAAAAAATAAACAAGAGTTTTTACGTCCTTTAAAAACCGAGCACGGTCGGTCGCACTTTCTTCGAAGAAGAAGATAAAAAAATAGTTTAGGTAACGAATAAGTTTGTAATTAACAAAGCATATAAATCGAACTAGAATAGAAGAAATCTCCTCCTCGTTAAAAGAATAACTTGATGTTTATTAAAGAAAATAAATTTCTTCCAACAAGAGCAATACACGAAAACTCTACGAATAGTATCGTAAAGAAAACAACCGATAACTCGTTTCATGTATTTTTTTACCTTCTCCTTTTTTCACTCGAATAGAAACAGAGATAGTAAAATTAGAAATGAACAAGCAATAGAAAGGTAGAAAGAGAAAGAGAAAGAGAAAGAGAGTATAAACGGAGCCAAACTTTGCATTGTTACGGAATCAAGTGTCGCATTCATCGACTGCATTCGCGGACAATCTCGAACTTTTAATTTGAGTTTGAGAATTCATTAAGGATACTACTTTGTGTACCGTAAACTTCGATCCGATTTGTGTTAACGAAAAATAATCTAACGAACGATTGTACGCAATATATAATACTTTCCTACTAGATACTACCCTAAAGATATAAAACACATAACTCGCGTTTTAATCGGGGTATAAAAAAGAATATTTTGCAAAATGATTACTACCGAAACACATAGAGGAAGAAAGTTTGAGAAGAAAAAGCGAAATATCTTTCGTGTCTCTCGAACTCCTCTGTTCGGTTTTCCCTCCACTCTTCCTCCGGCAGCGTCATAATTCTCCTTTTTGTCCCCCAACGCGCGGAGGTATATCCGGCGGCGGTGCCGAGATCGCGGATGAATCGATACGAGAGAGGTGAACGTGCGGGGTAGGACGGTGGACACGAGGAGAGTGGAGAAAGAGGAGGAAGAGTATAGGAGGAGGAGGAGGAGAAGGAATAGGAACTCGAGGAGGAGGGTGCTTTTTGAGGGAGATGTTTCGTTCGCAGGCAGTAGATTCTCCCCCGGCGGTCGAAAAGTTCCGCAGGATAATCTCCGTCCTTCTGGCCCGTCTCTTTCGCATTCTCCGTCGCACGGCCCGTTCATCCCCCAAGCCACCCCCACCGAGCGACAACTCTCCTCTTCTTTTTCTATCTTTCTTTCTCTCATTCTCAGCGTGACGCAAATGTCGAGTGGGAAAGAAAGAGATAGAGATGAATAAAGAAAGAGAGAGAGAGAGAGAAAGAAATATATATATATATATAGATATATAAACAGAGAAAAAGAGATAGATAGAAACGAGGAGGCAACTGGAGGGGCTGCCAGGATGTGGCGTGGCCAGTGACGCGTGTGCACGCAGGAAAACTCTTCTTATTTATATGCTCCACGCTGCCATGGCGAATCGATATTTCGCGTGAATTCTCCCGGAAAAAAAGCGGTGGAAGGTGGAAGCAACGTTGGAAGAAAAACCCTTCGCGGGATACGCTTTTCCTCTCTTCTTTTTCACCCTCTATGTCTATTTTCTCTCTCTCTCTTTCTCTCTCTCTCTCTCTCTCTCTCTCGCTCTCTTACGTTTTCTTTATTTATTTCCTCTTTTTTCCTTTTTCGCTATTCCCATTTCGCGCTTCAGCTTGGTTGATTCTCGACTTCGACGTGTTATGTCTCGACGTCCCACGGGTTTGATTATGGATAATATTTGTATTTCTTGAAGGAACGAGAAAACATGAACGAAATGTTAAGCTTTTCTTCTAAATACTTTTTTAAATAAACATTTTGATAACTTTGCCTATATGACGATATTAAAAACACACACGTGTACAGAAAATTTATGAAATGAAGATCTTCTCTTTGTCTTAGAAAGCAAGAAAGTCTACTAACGGATCTTACATTAGAGGTGAGAAAAAAAGAAAAGGTAAATGGGATATTCTCAATATAGAGGATTGGGAGGATGGATAAGAGAAGTCAGAAGGGTAAGTATAGCGAGAGGAATAGGAGGGTGTGCTATAGAGGTGGAGAAGCTGGTGGTAGAAGAAATGGTTCATTCGTATCAGCATAATGTAGATACTCCTTGGCTCTTCTGCGAGCTTCGAGCTCGAACGATGGCGCCGAGAGTGGTGGAGGAGGGACGGAATGAAATTGAAATGGAACTACCCGAAGTAGCAGACGGCCCCGCGGCTTTCCAAACTTGAAGAAAGATTGAAACGCGCTAAGGTATAGATGCGAAATGAAGTTCTATCGAAGTGAATTCTATTCGTTTCTTCGATCCTCCTCAAAGCAGATTTCCTAAAATTTTTTTAACTAAGGTTTCTTAAGAAATAAATACATTTCGATGTTATTTATATAAGCTTATGAATATCTTTTAAGCGAACATCTGCCAAGCTATATCGATAAACAAAAAAACCAAACAACTACCATTTCCTGGAAGGTATTTTTCATTCTATGATCCAAGAAAAAGACGCATTTTTCGTTCCTTTGTTTTCTTTCTCTCTTTGTCTATTCTGAATCCAGGAAAGCCAGCGCGTGGCGGTGTGAAATGGAATTAATTATGAGAGCGTCTCAACAGGTGGGTGTAGGCGTCTTTAAACTCTCTTCCTCTCTGTCTCGTTGCTATCGTCTCTTTTCGTCTTTCTCTCATTTCTCTCTCTCTCCCCCTCTCTCTCTCTCTCTCTCTCTCTCTCTCTCTCTCTCTTACTCCGCGTTGACAATTCATCCTACCAACCACCCCTTCGTCATGTCCCGGACCGTCCTCAAGTAATTTACTAAGAAAATAAATAGAGGGCGAGGTGTTGGAAAAATGGAAGGTTAAACGAGCGCATTGGCGCACGACCGCCGATGTACTTAATTGAGAAATTTGAAGAGAGAGAGAAGCTAAAAGAAAGTGAAATGATGCGAAAAAGATAAAGAGATGGAACGATGAACTTTAATTGAGATTGCCCGAAAATTACCAATTGTTTGTGTAAATCTATTCGTATCGTCTATCAAAATGCTAATGTAAACATGGGTATGGACTAGATGAATGTCTATGCATTAATAAAAGCTACGTTTTGACAAACCATAAGGACTTTCTTTTGAAAGTTAGACGATAAT